TATGTGTTACCAAAATGTCAACTTTATCAAATGTTATTGATAAATATTTTATTATTATTGTGTTAAGAGAGAGAGGAGGGAAAACAATAGTTATTTGTTTATTTTATAGCCACAATAATAGCTCCAAATTTGTTAAAATACTTACTATTAATATTAATATAATAGCTAGCATTTAGTCATGATAATATGTTAACAGGCACGTGGTCATGAATTTATTTTGCATGTGCAAAAAAAGATAACATTTGATCAAACTTGAGAACTTGTTATCCGATTTTATCATTCTGAACTGTCCTGGATTACGAAATTGATGTATTAATTACAAAGTTTCAATTTTTTTAATTTTATTATGAAATTACCAGCGTTGTGTAACTATTACAAATTTAGAAACTATCTGGAGAAAATACTAACGTGTAACGTGACACTTCCGCATCCCCGCACTAAAATTTCAACACTGTTCTTCACATGCTTGTAATATATTGATAACATCTATGTTGGACCAATTAGAAATATTTATTTCCCCACGGTTTTGTTTTATTTCCATGTGAAAAAAAAGCGATAAACAAATTGCTTATGTGACATTCGAAAGAGATGCTGCCGTAAAAACTGCTCTTATGTTAACAAATGCTGTAATTGGTGATTCTCCAATCACAGTCAGACCCGCCGATGGATCATTGAATCCTGATGATGGAAATAATGACCAACTTAGTTGTATAGAACAAGAGGAAAAGGTTAGTAGTAGCGGTAGATTTAGTAAGTTGCTTCCTCTCGTCAGGGAAGTAAATATTTTTATTTATAGACACGTTCAACTAATTATTATTTGTATATTTATATATCTTTTTATTATAGCCAAAAAAAGTAATTTTTGCAGAAATTTTAGCTGCAGGATTTCAGTTACAAGATTCTATCATTCAAAAAGGCCTCGAATTTGATTGTAAGTTTAAACGAATACATTTTTTAAAAGAATTTATAATTATTTGATTTCGAATTATTTAATTCATTAATATTATTATTATTTTAGCAAGATGCGGTATAAGTGGACGTCTCATGTATTATTTGCATCAACTCCAAGACAATCGTGAGTTTTTTTTTTAATTTCCTCCTTCAAAAAAAAAATTTTTTTTAAAAAAATATTCTTTTTTGTCTTCTTTTAGTCAAAGCATTAGACGACCAATACAAAGTATATGATAAAGTGAGTGCGACAGCCGTCCAGCTCGACACTAAATTTGCCGTTCAAGATAAAATCAAATATGTCACTACTCAAGCACAAGACAAAGTAAATCAAGCGATCGAACCACCTGCCGGTACAATCATGCTTGAATATTATCTTTCAACCACAAAACAAGTTGCCGATGTTCATGCTGAAGCAAGAAGAATTGCTGATGAAAAACAAGTCAAACTCATCACCTCACACGAAGAAGAATCCACCAATGGATCATTATAAATCATTGTCATATCAATTCATTATTCATCAATTACATGCATCTATCTATCTAACGAAACGTTTTTTTCGTTTTTGTTGTTTGGGTTAAAATTTTAATTTTTTTTATTTTTTCAACAAACAAACAAATAAATTAAAAAGCAAAATTTTTATTATTATATTAATATTAATACATACATAAACATAATAGCATTAAAATAATAAATTTTTTCCTTTTTCTCTATATATGAACTTTTTATTATATTATTATATATAATATATACTAAAAAAAAAAAATAAAAATAAAAATAAAAAACATAAAATTTGTCAATTAGAATTAAAAGTGTTAAAGCAGGAGCAGAGACGTTTCCCAAAATGTCACTCGATATTTCAAATGTTAATTGTTATTATTATGTAATTTAAGTTTTAAGTTTTGAGTATTTTCATACTTTTTTACAACGCCTTTATTTTTTTTTTTGTGAAAACCTTAAAATCCATCAATTACACAAAAAATCCAAATATTAAAATTAATAATTAATAATTAATTAATAATTTACAAAATTATAATAATAAATTAAAAAATTTTTTTTTTTGTAAAAATAATA